AAGGCAGCTACATTCTATATTGGGGCCATATTTTATATATATATATTTAAATATGTTGAATTCAACATTTTTATTTTTATGTTTTTTGGTACCAGGGATCAAACTCCAGACCTTGCGCTTGTGAGGCAGGTGGAAGCACCACTGAGCTAAATCCCTGGCCCCAACATTTTTATTTTTAAAAAATTTAATTATTTAAATGCTTAATTCAGAGAATGATGGGCCTGGCATTAGAAAAAGTTTACTGTGTGTCAGTACACAATAGCCTGTAGGCCCAATCTGACCACACACCTGTTACTGTAAGTAAAATTTTATTGAAACAGTCTCTGCATTCATTTATGTGTTATCTAGGGCTGCTTTTGTGTTACCTTACAAAGTAGTAGTTGCAATAGGAACCATATGGCCCACAAAGGCTAGAATTTTTTTCTTTTTAATTTTAATTTTTTTTTTTTTTTTTAGAATCTTTAAGAAAGTTTCTTGGCCCCTAGCTCAGAGCTTTGGTTTATCAATGTGTGCAAAACACAGCCTCATTTTTTTACCATTCAGAGAAGAGGAATAATCCTGACTTCAGTGGAGTCACTGAGTAACAGTTGTGAAAATCCGTGAACTGGTAAGCCCTGAAGATTTGCTAATTTTATATTTACATGGAATTCCTTGAAAGTCATATAGTGAAAAATTACTTTTTTTTTATTTTTTATTTTTTTGGTACTGGGGATTGAACTTGGGTCCTTCTGCTTGCAAGGCAGGAAGCAGAACCACTACTTTTCCTTGGTTAGCAATAAGCTAATTTAAATATATTGACTGATAGTCACATCCTTGACTCATTTTCTTAGTTTTGTATTAATCTTTATGGCCATATAGCTGTAATAACCTGTAATCCAAATACATACTTAACAATGTGATGTCTAGATTTTAGTCCCATAACTCAAATTGCTTTGTAATGAGTCATGTGCATTCACATGTTACTTCATCCTTACCACTTCATAAAGTATATGTGATAGATATTGTCCCTATCAGATGAGTACACAGGCTTAGACTTACTGCTAAAGGTCACTCCCATGCATTACCTTATTAGTCATATCATAGGTACTGACACCTGCCTGTCCAAGGTGCCTTTAAAATTCCATATAAACTAGGTCATCTCTACTAATCTCTGAACCGAACAAACTCACCTTCTTTTCTTAGTAGAAACGGCTTTCTTTAGGCCTGTGCCCCTCTGCACCCACCACAAGTAGAGCCTGCTCATTTTTCCACATTGTCCGCCGCAAAGGCTTTGGGATTATGGCATCTTCCAGTTCATCACTCTTCCTCTCACGAGCAGAAATATATACAAGCAATGTTGTCGGGAGCAATTTTACGTAATTTTGGGGGAAAATCATTTCATAATTATGATTAGGCCTAGTTTCCCTGCCTACAGGCCAGCTATGGCACGTCAAGACATAACTCCATTTTTGCCTCTGGTCATAGCTAAGACCTCAAAGGTCCTGTGATGCTGTGATGCTCCAGGGCAGGATTACATCAGCTGGAGACATCCTGGGGAGGAACAAATTCCTAATCAACATAAGTTCCTTATTGAACTAGGATCTTCATCTGCGTAAATTCCTCATTGTTCTAGGATTATCATCTCCACTGCCCTGTGAGTCATCTGTTTCTCCCAATGTACTGAATAAAGGTGTGGCAAGTTTGGGGTCTTTATTTGCTGGCCAAAGCATCATCAGTCAGGCCCAAAACTCAGCTTCTTTAAGTCTTGTTTCCTTTCTTTATTATTTCTCCTCATGCTGTTGTGGCTCACAGGAGACCAGTACTCACTGTAGGAGTTCTGGTAACGTCCCTTTCTCCCTGTCCCTTACACAATATGAGGTACCTGATATCTACATGAACCTTGCCATCTCTGTACTTCTGGACCTTCAACACATTTAGTGAAAACTTCATCCAATTTACCATCTTTGCTCCCACTCCCTCCCTTTCATTTAATTATCCTGGTAGTAATCACATGCAATCACATGAATGAATGACCCATCTTTAATGCCACCATGGCCTCAATTTTTTTCTGCTTGATTTTAACTCCTCAGTGCTAGTCCATCAGTATTTAGGTGTATCATTAAAACTACTCCACCTCTGGAAATAGAAATCCCATTATACTAGTATTTGACCACAACA